ACACCCATTAGAAGATGTTTCATGCTAAATATCTTAGCTCTAGCTCTTTGGGTTCTTTAAATGAAGATTTTTTAAGTTTTTACTATATACATATAGGGAAAATCAATGACCCCCCAGGGCGGGGCCGATTTTAATTCTAGGAACAAAATTTGAACAAGTTTGGTTTTGGACCTATAGATGATACCATAGACCAAATATCAAAGCTCTAGGCCATTTACTTTTAGACCAGAAGACTTTTCAAGTTTTCACTATATGTATATAATGAAAATCAATGACCCCCGATTGAACAATCTTGGTAGAGGTCTACCACACAATGTTTCATGCCAAATATCTTACCTGTAGCCTTTGCCAATTCAGAGAAGAAGATTTTTTTATGTTTTACTATATACATTTTAGAAAAACCTATGACCCCCGGGGGGGGGGTCAATTTTGACACTAGGGACAAAATTTGAACAACTTTGGTAGAGGACCCATAGATGATACCATATACCAAAAATCAAAGCTCTGGCCCATGTACTTTCAGACAAGTAGATTTTTTAATTTTGTGTTTTTTGAAATCCTTTTCTGGCCCTATGACCTACATATGCAACAGACCGGAACCATTTGAACAACTTTGAAAGGGGACCACCCAAGGATCATTTCTGTAAAGTTTGGTTGATGTGCAGTTATTGGTTTCAGAGGAGATGTTGTTTATGTTAAAAATGTTAAAAGTTGACGACGCACGACGGACGACGGACACAGGGCCATCACAATAGCTCACCCTGAGCATTGCTCAGGTGAGCTAAAAAGTAAATTAAATTACTTATAATATTTCTTTAAAAAAATCCTAAGTTCAAATGGATATTAACCTGAAAATATTGCTTTAAGAGTTATGAACCTAGTCACATAAGATGTAACTGAAGAAGCAAGAGGTAGATGCCTTTGAAACTAAAGAAGTCATAGTAAAAAATAATATTTTTCAAGTAAAAAAAATCTAAGTTCATGGGGAGGTAATTCTTGCAATATTGGTGCTAGCGTAAACAACCTTGTCACATAACATTTGGTTAATGATAAGGATAATATATTTGAAATATGAAGTTGATCCCTTAAGAAATAAATAAGTAACAGTAAATAATAGCTGTCGGTAGGACAGCAACGCTCTACCATTCTAAGTGCTTGATAGAAAAAGAGCCTTGATAATGTAAAATGTTAACAAAAGGGCCACATTTTCCTTTAAATCCATGTTACTGTTATAGGGCCAAATTTTCCTTTTAATCCATGTTACTGTTATAGGCCTTTAAGAGAGTCCTATTATGCTCTCAAAGAAGAGTATAAAATTTCAACTTTTTCCTAGCCAGATGTCAATAGTATATAAAAATATCTGAGGTGGTATGCAAACTTTAATTAAATAACATAAAATCTAAGTCAGAAAAGTGGCATAATTCTGTCAAAATGCTTGATCCAGTTATCTCCTCCTGTCTACAGGTTGGGGTCATGATAGTGAACAAGTGTGCAAAGTTTCAAAGCCATATAACAACACACCGTACAATCAAATGGGCAGACAGCTGTTCCAGCGTCCACAGCTGTACCAGTATATACATGTCGGCGCGGGGAATACAATTGACGTACGATAAGTATTCATCTATTTTTAAGATATCCAAACTGTATTCGAGTAAATCAATGTTATGGATTCATAGTCAACATCCAAAGAAGCATGCTAACAAATTTCTGGCCCTGTGAAAGCTTTACTTCACATGAATTTTGACTGAAAATAACCACACTATCCGATGAGATGCGGTATTTTTAGTTTGAAGTCACAAAAACTTATATTTTCTCATGATAATTAATCCTTATTTCATACGATTCGTAAACGTCAACATTTCGTCATTAAATATTCCAAACCATACCTTCAAAAAAATCTTTTCTGTTAAAGTTATAAGGTATTTAAGTTTGAGTGTCATCAAAATTTTAGTAACGTTATCAGCTGTTCGCCTCTTTTTAATGATAACATCGACAGCAATTCTTGGCAAGGATGAATAACGCTGAAAGCTGTTCAAAGAAACAATTTTCAGAGCTTTTGTCCTACAGTAACTAGGAAAAAGTAAAACTTTTTTGTTCATTTAAAATATTACTTTATTCATGATACTTTCTAATTATATTATTTTTATTATTACTTTCTATCATTTGTTGTATCTGAGCTGAAAGGCTTATATCTCCATTTACCGCACTGTATTTCAATATTGATATTGTTCATATGAATGAATGAGTGAGTGAATGAATGAATGAATAAATTAACTAATTAATAAATGAACGAACGAATGAACAAACGAACGAATGATGCAATATACGTATATGTTAAAACAAATTGTCTGTAGAAAGTATACGAGTTGTAATACGAATACTCTGTATTATAACTAAATCCATCAAGTGTTATTATAAATAATGGCATATAGTAGACATGTCCCATGCAGTAAATGGATATGTAACCCGAGATGTCTGCCATATAAAATGATTTATTTAAAAAATAAAAATTTGAATATTTTTTAAGAATGGTTATTATTTCTATTGCACTATACATTAAAACAGATTTCAAGGATAAATAACAACATGTTTTTCCATGCACTTTCATATCTCGGGTTACACAGCCATTCACTGCATAGAACTTGTCCATTATATGAATTATTTATAATAACATTTGATGGATGCCTTCATTTACAAGACTGAATATTCATATTAAGCGTTAAATTTGCCTTTGCTTTTTGACTTAAACATTTCATAAACCTATTACAGGAACTCCACTGAGGTTTATAAGCCTAAAAACATGAAATTTTATTTTTTCACATAAAAAAAAAACATGAGCACTAAAACATAAATATTAATAAAATATAACCAAGAAATATAGGAGAAATACATTGAAAATCATATGTTTGTGCTATTCTCAGTCCGATTTGAGTGAAAAGCGTTTGAACTCTTTTCAATTTTGGGTCATTTTTTCACTATTATAATATTCTGGAAAAACGGAGCAAGCTAATGATCGGAAATTTTGCATATAAGTTATTAGTATAGATCTACATCAAACGGAGAAATAATCTCAAAAAATTATTTCCAGTCCCGTCATGTCAAAAAACCTTAGTGGAGTCCCTTTAATAGGTTTTGCTACCTTTTTATATTGAAATACAGTGCGGTAAATGGAGATCAAGGTCTCTAACCTAAGATATAACAAATAATAGAAAGTAATTATAAAAATAATATAATTAGAAAGTATCATGAAAAAAGTAATATTCTAAATTAACAAAAAAGTTTTACTCTTTCCTAGTTACTGTAGGACAAAAGCGCTGTTGTAAATACATGTAATTGTTTCTTTGAACAGCTTTCAGCGTTATTCGTTCTTGCCGATGAATTGCTGTCGATGTTATCATTAAAAAGAGGCGAACAGCTGATAACGTTACTAAAATTTTGATGACACTCAAACTTAAATACCTTATAACTTTAACAGAAAAGCTTTTTTGAAGGTATGGTTTGGAATGTTTAATGACGAAATGTTGACGTTTACGAATCGTATGAAAAAAGGATTAATTATCATAAGAAAATATAAGTTTTTGTGACTTCAAACTAAAAATACCGCATCTCATCGGATAGTGTGGTTATTTTCAGTCAAAATTCATGTGAAGTAAAGCTTGCACAGGGCCAGAAATTTGTTAGCATGCTCCTTTGGATGTTGACTATGAATCCATAACATTGATTTACTCGAATACAGTTGGGATTTGTTAAAAATAGATGAATACTGACCGTACGTCAATTGTATTCCCCGCGCCAACATGTATATACTGGTACAGCTGTGGACGCTGGAACAGCTGTCTGCCCATTTGATTGTACGGTGTGAACAATGGACTTTGAAAATATTTGAGGTATTACAAAAATTTTAACATAAGTTATTACACCTACGCTGACACAGACGCCGACACCAACACTTACGCACTGGTGACTACAATAGCTCTACTTATTCTTATCGAATAGTCGAGCTAAAAATAACTTTTTTTAGGAAAATTCTATCTTCAAGAGGAGATAAATTTGAAAATATTGGTGCTAGAGTTTGTTTCATTTTACGCCTTTTTCCAACAGTATTTCAGTCATATAGGCGGGTAGTTTCCTAACCATCGTTCCTGGAGAGTTACACCAGTACTAGACTACCTTCCTCCGTGCTAAACTATGAACCTTGTCACATAAGATGTGGTTGATGATAAGGAACATATATTTGAAGTATGAAGTTGATCCCTTAAGAAATAAGGAAGTAACGATAGAAAATAATATTTTTTAAGGAAAATTCTAAGTTCAAAGGGAGATAAATCTGAAAATAGTGGTGCTAGAGTTATGAACCTTGTCACATAAGATGTGGTTGATGATATGGAAAACCAAAACTTTAATCTGAATAAGGACACGGACGCTTGGGCAAGTAGGACGGCTCTCCATATACTTTGTATAGTCTAGTAAGAAAGTGTTTTATGCAGTAAACATTAATATAAATATAAAAGTGATATGGCAATTTTTGTACTAAGAAGCGAGGAATGATATTTTATCTTTTCTTGCATTCTAAATCTATAGTAAATAATATTATTACCGTACCTTTCTTGTCTATTAAATGTATGGTATTGTACCTAACAATATTGCTTTAGCAATGATGTTCCAGGGTTTTCACATGTTGGTTTACACAAAATATCCATACATATATCTAATTTCTATTATAATACATAAATATATATACAATAAACTTTATGCTTTAAACAAAAAAAATAGAACTTTTTACAACATTACCATTAGACAGGATTAATTTTGACCCCAGTGACACTACTGAAGTTTTCCAGATTGTATGTAAATGATAAGCAGACTGGAAATCTATACACCTGAGAATCTATTTTCCTTTCTTAGAATTTTTCCATGAATATGTGACCATAAGACTTGGAAATTTTTTAACAACATAGCAATATTCTGAGGTATCCAATGCATTTCTCTGCTTAACTTCAGCTAGAAACTTTTTTACAAGGAAGTTTTTCACATATTTCCAATACAATTTAGGTGAAACATGTAGGTCCATTGGCATTCAGGGCTTCCATTAAGATCCAAAATTTGGAAGTCAAAGACTGCAAAATGTCTTGACATTGGAAGTCACAAAATATTGGTAAAGAAGAAAAAAGCATTACATTTTGGAAGTCACAAGCCAAATTCAAGGAGTGAAATGACTCCCAAACTTCCATTAATGGAAGCCCTGCCATTACTATGAAAATGGTAGCCTGATGTTCATTTACAAAAAGTGTTTATACCTTGATCATTCAAACAAAAAGTTTCTCCAAAAATTGTGTATTTCTCTTCTAAACAAACAACTTTGCACATTTTAACATCTTACAGTTCACATATATTCGTCTTACATGTCCACAGATATATATACAATGGATAGGAAGCTCAGAAAATAGTTGATAGTCAGATTCAGATCCACAGTGCGCTTCGGTGATAATCGGGTTTTCCCACTAGTCCCCGATTCTCGCACTCTCGTTAAACTTCGGCGATATCCATGAACTACTGTTTACATTGCCGACATTGTTTTTTTTGAGAAATATCTGTGTGGAAAAGTGTGTATGGTACGTTTTAACATAAATAACTATTGCTTCTTATGTAAGTAGAAAATGCTTCGTCTTTTTTTGTCAATGTTCCTCTTGGAATTCAATATGGCGGTATTTTGGCTACTATTACCCAGGATGCATCAAATCTTGGAAAATCCCGAAACACATGATAACTTGCGTTAGAACAACCCCAATAATACTGAATTTAACTGTATGACGTCTAAGTTACTTCTCCATCTATATTAAGCTCCATGACATGTCCAATCAATCAGTAAATCAATAAGTTGATTGATCATTAGAACATTTAATCAACAATCATCAATCAGAGAATGAATCATCGAGTCAATGAAATCGAGGAAATCAACACTCTGAAATTAAACAAATTACATCAACATAAAAATAGAGTTAAATCAATTTCCTATGTCTGAAATGCATAATTATCATTTAAATAAAAACCTCCAAATTTATGGTCAATTACAATAAACCCATTAATTAACACTTTCTATATGATCTACGTAAATAACCGAGGTGTATCGAGTTGCTTCCCTTATCTTCGAGTAAAATTGATATCTCTTATGCTTAAACAAAACCGCTAGTTTGTTCTGATTAAATGTCCGATTTTAAAATGTATTACACCAATAGCAAACGTTGGATCTTAGCTTCGTCACAGTGTAAACTATAGATAGATATTCTTCAACACATCTTTGACTCCACAAAGTATTCAAATGAACAGTTAAACCTACCACATGTCAGACCATTTTACATACGATTTATACAGTGAGATTTATACAGTGAGAAAACAACCGGTTATCTTTATTCCTAAAACTACTGATAAGAAAAGCCTCTCGTCTGCTAGTTCTGAAAGTGTTTATCGGTGTATTAAATATTTACAACACATTGAACAGCTTACTTAACCTGTAGGTATATTAACATATAATATAGCTATATGCTTTCTATCCACAATCATAAGTTCATTTAATGAAGTTATTATAAAATACATCATATTCATAAATAAATTCTAAACTCACCAGTTCGTGGAATTGAATGTACCAATAATAGCATTATCTTCTTCAAACACGCATACTGTCAAACTCTCTCTCTGCTGTAACTTCTGCAAAATATAATAAACACAATGTGCAAAGTGATATGAATAAAATGTGAGATTAAGTAAACAGAGAGCTAGATTAACGGATTTTTCTGAAAACAATTCTCAAAGGTTCCAAGTCACGAATACTGATGACATTTCAAATCAGACCACACTCATTACTTAATTAAAAAATCATCTATGACATACACTCTATAAAACACTAATTTAAACCAAATGCAACTCAAAATAATACTGACCAACTATCAATAATCCATATTTCCAATAAATTAAGAACACTTTGAACTTTTTACAAACAAAGCTGCTTAAACATAGACAAAACTAGTGATATTGCGGGAAACCAAGGGAAACAACTCAAACAACAAAAAATATATCAATAACCTGAACTATCAACACTGTTACACATCATGAAATCCAAATAAGAATTCCAAAACAGATTACATTAAGTTCAAATAATATTGGTAAGTTTTCTGTACCTACTTTTAGAAAATGATGAGATCAGCTTTCACATACAAAAATAGCGTCGAAAACTTTGTTTTGGTACGAACTACTTCCTTACTCAAAGTTAACGTGAATGAATACTAATGATATTTTTTACTGATTATATCCTGAAAACATGCAAATAATATACGATAGAAATAACACAATCAAAAATGAACTACTGACAATTCAAAATCTTATCACTTGTGTGTGACAAGAAAATCTGTGTAGAACTACTTTGCGTTGTTAGGTACCCATTCTTGTATTGAAATCCCGCAAATTGTGATAGAACTGTATTCACTGCTAACTCAGCGAATACAAAAACAATGACATAAATGAAACTAAGAAAACATATACAAATATTAAAGAACAAAGCAATGTATGTACATTTCTATCAAAGTTTGCCTTATCAAACAAAATAACGAAAACATTATAATTTTAAGAAAAGTTAAAAGATTCGGATAATAATGTTTCAAGCAATTAATGACAGATTTTCAGTATTTTAACTTTATTTCTACAGCATTACTTAAACATTTACTGCCATTTTGCATATTTTGACCTCCTTTTAATAATTGTCACTAAGGTATAAATTACTTACTTTTATTTACTTCACAAAGTTACACTTTTAAATATCCATGAGAATTAGCACAAATTTGGAGGTGTGATGCTTTTAGATATGACCTTCTCTTACCACCCCTCGTCTGTCCGGAGGATATGTTAATGTCCAATAGCGTTTGTGATATCATTTTCACTGAAAAAAAAGAAATTTATGAAAAATGGAAAAATAACAAGCAAAAATGTTTTTCATGGTTATCTGCCCTTTAGAAATTTTGACAGTTATCTTAACTTAATGAACAATTTTGCTAGCTTTTATAAGAGAGCTTTAACAAAAATTAAAAGTAAACATAAGTAGTGTCATTCGGAGAGCGAGAGGGAGTTGTGAGCAGGAGCAGTTTAGGTTTGGGGATTATGACGTAATGTTAATCTTTTGAAGTGGTCTTCGAGTGTACTTGAGAGGTAGAATATCCTTTTGAAGTGGTCTGCCAATGTACTTGAAAGGTAGAATATCCTTTTGAAGTGGTTTTCAATGGCAGTTGAAAGGCAAAGTGTCCTTTTAAAAGATGTTTTATTAAAAATAAAGATGGCGGATATTTGCATAATTAAAAATAAAGATGGCGGCTAGTTCCGTAATGAAAAACAAAGATGGCGGATAGTTTACCTGGCAACCAATGGGGAGAGTGATGCATGAATGAGTGATTATGGGCAGTATGTGTGTGTATTGAAATGTTTTCTCAATAAACATTATTATTATTATTATAAACGGGTCAGTTTTTACTGACCACCATTAAATTGGAAATGGCTACCGCCGACAGCGTGTCTATATCTTTGAGCAAGACTGGAGAAATTTCACCAGAACGCGAACCTTTTAAAATCTGTGAGGAAAGTGAGCTTCAGGGCGGCCGGGCGGTCTCTAGCGACTGCGTGGTTTGCGGCAATAGGCTGCCTAAGAACCGCGGTTACTTTCATCGCTCAAATAGTCGCCATATACGGAATAATAATCGTGTCTGCGGTCAATCTTTCGATCAATTCCGGGTCAAATCAAGAACTCTGGATTGCTCTACTCAGTTCGGCCGTCGGCTACGTGCTGCCGAGTCCCGGACTTAAGTACAGAAAAGCCAAAGCGAACATTCGGACCAACCCTTAGGGATGAGGGACAGTAATGGCGGAACTGAAACCAAGTTCGAGTATCTCGGTAGATCGAGAAGGCAGATTCAAAATAAGCAGAAAAGAAATAGTTTCATTCCCGGAGTCTCAGGACACGTACAGTACCAACAGACCGGTTCACATATTGCTCAGCAGCCGGTCTAAACATTCATTTATTCAACACTAATGATAAGTCAGCTTTACTTTTTTGATTCTGAAAGGAGATATTTTGACGCTTATTCTAACTGGATTGTACGAAAACGAGCATGTTATAATAGCCTTTATGAATCTTTTTAAATTGAATTAAAGATGGCGGTTAGCCATTCGAGTTATTTTTAAATAAGATAAAAAAAATGGCGTCTTATTGGAGGGAGATTCCTTTGGGGTTTATCAAGTACAAATGTATGTATCGAAATATATATCTCGATACTCAAAATAGGCGGCAGAATGTCTGTCATTATAATAATAACAACGGTTATTATTATTATGATTATGATGAAGATTATTATTATCATTATTATGAGATAAAGTAATTGCTGGAAGCCGTTGCTCGGGTAGCGGCTCAATGCTAGTCATTTTTTAATGACGTGTTACTCATTGGCGGAGAAAAAAAAGCAATTAAAAATGACCTAGATTTCACTGAACACGACTTGTTCAGGCATTTTGCCAGAGTGTCGTGTCGACGCTTTACGGGATACGGACAAAAGCCCCCCCCCCCGGACGAAAGCCCCCCCATCTAAAAATGACAAGGTGGACAAAAGCCCCCCCCCCCCCACGAAATTTTCACATAGGACAAAAGCCCCCCCCCCCCCCATAAAAAAGTAAAGGTAGGACAAAAGCCCCCCCCCCCCATTGTCAATCAAATTTACATATAGTGTATTAAAATTGTGTTTTTATGTGTTTAAAAGGTATGTATGGACATCACATGTAGGTGACATAGTGCTTAGGATATTAATTTGATCCCTTTACAAAAGTGATTAAACATTACTACTCTTCTGACCCTTGTTGTGTATTTGAAAAAGCTATGAATTCGGTATCAATGCATGCATAATTTAATTTTTTATCACAAACTTTGTTATCACTTCAATATATACATTATAAATAAACATTAAAACAAATTATTTTCATTTTTATTTAAAAGTTTGTGTGAAATTTGATGAATTTGAGCACCTGCGCGTGTGAAAAAAAGATGGGGGGGCTTTTGTCCTACCTGTATTTTTGATGAGGGGGCTTTTGTCCTATGTGAAAATTTCATGGGGGGGGGCTTTTGTCCACCTTGTCATTTTTGGACGGGGGGGGCTTTCGTCCGGGGGGGGGGGGCTTTTGTCCTACACTCTCTTACTCACGCTTTACCATTGACGAGAGAGCAGAAAACAGGATTGCCCGTCGATAGAGACCTCTTTTTCATTTCATCAATTTTTTTCTAAAAATAGTATTCTACCGCGCAATTTTGATGTTAGAATACAATGCCGTGACATTAACTGGAAAAACATCGAATTATTTTTCCCTCACTTATTCCTGTATTGTTAATGTGGCAGCTATTCTTACTTTTGATTCAAGTGTACCAAGTGAGTAAAATATTGTGTTGTTACGTAGTTAACAGTCTATTTTATCAGTAAAAATCTGAAATTTAAAAACCTATAGAAAGAGTGTCCCAATGAAGTATAAGTTCGGGGTAATAAAATAAATAACACGCAGTTTGTGATTAACATCGCTTGGAAAACAATGTTAGCTAATTCTTCGGGTAAATAGTATTTTCTTCGGGATGATTATTTTTACTGTTACTCACAAACTGTGTTTTATTTATGATTTTGTACAGTGATGGGAATAGTCACGGCAAGGACGAACTTGTATGAATGCAGGGAAAACAAAAAGTGATATGTTTGAATTGAAAGAAGGGCATTTTTATAAAATTTATTAACTGCCAGAAAGCATAAGCATAAAGTGGTTAAACCT